GGAGAAATTATTTTAGAGAGGTTCTCTGTGTTGAGACATAAATTTTTCAAAAGGGATTATTGAGAGAAGAAGCAAGTTGTTGAAGATTAAGAGAAGAAGGTGGACAAATTTATTTTGCTAGAAATTCAGGCCCAGGGGGATATTTGTTGGGTTTTATTTGCCCTGGTTTCTTACCATAAATAGGTTTTCCTTTTAGGAAAATGTTTTGGATTGACTAATCATTTTTCTGGTAGGAAAAGGTTTAGAACTCTACAAATAGAGTCATGTTCATTCTAACTTAATCAGCATTCACAATGTAGTCTAAAAGGTTTTTAGAGTTTTTGGTTAGGGGGAGAAATTGTGGATCAAAAGTTTGATACATTATCCTTTCTGTGAATCTCCCATGTATTCTGTGTGAATTTGATTGAGGTTGTTTCCCTCTATATTTTGTACTCTCATATTTATAATGGATTGCTCATCTCCTTTGTGAACGTAGGTCAATTGACCGAACCACGTTAAATCTATGTACTTTTTGGTATATTTCTCGTTGTCTTCTTACTCGTAGTCTTTCGAGATTTGGATTGCTAGCTTCTATGTTACACCTGCTTATTTACGGTCCTAACAAGTGGTATCAGAGCCAGATTCAATGATGGAATCAAGTTTTGTGGTTCGATAAACGATGATTGAACCATGTTAGAAAGAGGTGTTTATTTTGGCGGGTGTAGATTTAGCCGCAACCTTTTTGATAGTAGTAAAGATTTTTGTTGGAGAAATTATTTTAGAGAGATTCATTGTGTTGAGACATAAATTTTGCAAAAGAGATTATTGAGAGGAGAAGCAAGTTGTTGAAGATTAAGTGAAGAAGGTGGACAAATTTATTTTGCTAGAAATTCAGGCCCAGGGGATATTTGTTGGATTTTATTTTCCCTGGTTTGTTACCATAAATAGGTTTTCCTTTTAGGAAAAGGTTTTGGATTGACTAATCTTTTTTCTGGTAGGAAAAGGTTTAGAACTCTATAAATAGAGACATGTTCATTCTAACTTAATCAACATTCACAATGTAGTCTTAAAGGTTTTGAGAGTTTTTGGTTAGGGGGAGAAATTGTGGGTCACAAGCTTGATACGTTATCCTTTCTATGAATCTCCCATGTATTCTGTGTGAATTTGGTTGAGGTTGTTTCCCTCTATATTTTGTACTCTCATATTTATAGTGGATTGCTCATTTCCTTTGTGGACGTATGTCAATTGACCGAACCACGTTAAATCTATATACTTTTTGGTATATTTCTCGTTGTCTTCTTACTCGTAGTCTTTCGAGGTTTGCATTGCTAGCTTCCGCGTTACATCTGCTTATTTACGATCCTAACATCAAGAAGTATGAATATGATATGATTGTGCATGTTTCTGTTGAAGTTTACTTAGCATCGAGTGGACTTCGGGATGGAGGTACATCCGTTAATAAAGACAAAGTTCTTTAGTAGAAATCCCTTTGTTCCATAACTACATGCCCGTGTAGGACTTAGTCTTAATTGTCACTAGCTAGTGGATCTATGTCTTAAGAATATGGTTTACCTTGACAAGTTAAACACTCTTTTTTCTATATGAGAACAATACACTAAACTCAATGTCATACTCATAGCTCACATGGTTTATGTTGCTTAACGATATCTCCCACAACAGTTTATGATTTCTTCAATATATTTTGTATTAATTATTATAGTTTAAACAAAAGTAAACTATAAATTATTACTTGATGGCTGGGTGGGAGAAACAGGCAATGGGGTTTGGTTTTCTAGTTGTTTTGGTTCGCCGGTCTGGTGGTGTTTTATGGGCAGTATCTAGAAAGGGTATTTCAGTGATTTAGTGATGGGATTTTGGGGTTGTTTAAACTTGTACTGGTTCGTTAGATCTTGGAGCTCCTCGTAATGGGAGAGATAAGGGGAAGAAGAAGACGAGCAGTTGGACTGCCGCATTGGGGTGTTGAAATCTAGGAGAAGGGGTCGCATGGGTGATTGTTGTTGAGTTGTTGGTCTCTTGGGGGTTGTTAGTGAGGTTTGTCGGGTGGTTATAGCTCGTGGATGGAGCTATGGGCAGTGGCGGTTCTATAGCTTAGTAAAAAAAAAGCAACTGGTTTAGGCCTCAAAATTTGAGAGGCCTCATTTAAAAAGAAAAAATCATTAGTTATACATAATTTTTTTAAAAAATATCCAGTGTTATTTGTAAAAAATTTATAAAAAAGCAAAGAAGTAAAAGAAACTTGACAAGTTATAAGTACTCCGTCTCAAGAAAAATTAAATAATTATCTATAATAAACTTCATAAAAAATATACATTCGAATTTAAGATCTCTATTCAAATTTAACTTTCGGTGGCCGATTTGTTATAGTCAGGGGTCTATTGGTCGTTGTTTATTTGGATCCGTCAATTTGGCAGTGAACACACCAGAGAAGATAATGACAAAAGATATTATCCATTGTGATAAAATCATTTTTTCTACAAAAGCGTTAGTTATCAAAATCATGTGCTCAAAATCTTTGGCAAATTAAATATCTACGTGTACAATTAACTATTTGTATTTCAATCTATTTCTTGAACAAATATGACGAATATAACAAAAAAGGCATATAAAAATGCAATTTAAAAGTATTATTTAACGAAGGTGAAACAACAGTTTGTTTATATGCAACAAATTGTGTCAAAAATAACTTAATGAAAATTAATCAATAAAAATTCTAATCTTTTAAACAATATAAGAATGATTATCGATCATTCAAATTAAAATTCCATAACATATAATTTTTAATTATTTAACAAATACAATACTTAAAAATGTAATTTTTAAAATATCAAATCAAAATTGAATATGAACAATGATCTTTCCCTATAAATTGAATAGAAACGTCAAGGACATGAAGCAAGTGATCACAACTATCCATAGTTGTCATTCCAATGCTTTCCTTTTTCTTTTCTTTTTTTAATGTGCAAGCCTGGATCTTAAAAATAACGGGGTTCGACAGAGTTCATTTCCAAACAAAGTAATTATTTCATACCTAATTTCTAAAACAAAACCTAGATATTTTTGTGTTGCAAAAGATATTTTTTGACTTTTCTTTTAAATCTATGATGGATCAGTTTATCTAGATCTAGACCATTTACAAGTTACACCTTTAATTTATCCATTAAACCAACATTTAATTGGAAAGCACTTCCCAACTTTAGCAAATTAATTTGCAATCAGTAATAAATATTTGTAACATAAATTATATCGGTTATAAGTTACCTTTTTCGATTTATTCATTCAGTTCTAAACATATTAAGCATTAGAAATTGCACACTATTTCGTTTGAGTTATAATCATATATGAAATTTAAACATAAATTTATTTTTAAAAGCTATAATCTAAATTCAGTCAAAAAAAATTTGGTACTTACACACTATTTCATTAATATTAAAGTATGAACATTAAAGTTAATCTCTTTATAATAGTTTTCTTTAAAAAAAGTGACTTTCTTTAGTATTAATTACTTCAAATGGTAGGGACACATAAGTTGGACAAACAGAATAATTTTAATTATGATATGATTTTTATCATATCTTTCTTTTCTATTATTTCAAACCAACTACCTCAAACGAATGCATATTTAAGGCTTGACGAAATGCAAAGATATAATTGTTAATTTGATTCTTTTTTCCACGTTTTCCTCTTCTCTCTAGTTTGGGAAAAGTCAGCTAATTTAATATCCTCTTATGCTGTTAAATTAGAATGCGAAGCAATTGAGGAAGTTGTTTTTAACTAAACGGTAGGATTTTGTTATAAGTTTTGAATATGATTTTTTTTTAATAGAGAGTGATTATCACTATATAACCTTATGTGATACGAATTTAAATTAATCAAATTTTGATACAGATATAAAATATTATATCTCAAATATTAATTAAAATAGTTGAAGGCTTCTTTACGAAGTACGTATAATAATTCGTAATGAATTTTATATACCTAAGTAATATCTCTGAGCTAATATTTTCCAATTAAGTATAAAGGTGGTTGTGTCGATTCTAAAGAACTTTAAAAAGATGAACGATTTTGCAAATATCGAAATTAGGCGGATTGGTTACGTGCCAACCTTGTCCTTTCAATAAAGAATTTATTAAATATAAATATCTCTGAAAAAAATTATTTTATAAAAGGCACAAATATTATGTGGCTGACAAGTAAGAAAATCTAGTAATCTTGCAACAAAAGGGACATCAGTTGAAGTAAAATTTTCTTTTGATGGTAATGAGTTAATTAATACTTCATCCATCTATTTTTTGTGATATTTTTTTGATTTTGAAATTCAAACAAGTCTAATTTTGATCATAATTTTTTTTAAATTTTTTAAACATTTTGAATTATCGATTGTTTTTGACTTATAGTACTTTTTTTACCTAGTTTACAAATATATAAGTTTCATTTAAAAAATATTGAAGAATTAGTGTGCAAAGTCACAGTCAAATTTAAATTGTTTGACTCTAAAAAAATAAAAAGTGTCACACAAAAAATTGAAACAAAGAAAATATCATTGTATTCAAAGTCACTAAAGTATAGAGTGATATTTATATAAAGTGTTGATTATGAATATTCATATTTATTATTATCATTAAATATAATATAGTAGAAATCATTGTTTATCGTAGCCTAAGCCGACTCAAACACACAGAATGATGGAACGCTGTAACAAAATCGCTACGCTGTAACAAATTTGCAAAAATTATCTAAGAACAAAGGTGGCATGTACAAATCACGGTCATGGGAAATAAAATAGGATAAAACCTCATTTATCACATGTAATTAGTTGTGGTTTGAATATTTAGGTAGGCCATATTTTCTCTACAAGTTGTTTTACATCTTTTTAATTCCATTTTAAAATTAAAGTGTGAGAGTCGTGTTTAAAATGTCTAGTTTAATAAACTTCATACCATATTAAACTCCACAATTATATATCATTTAAATAATACTGTGAACTACTATATATTTCTCATGAACTACTAATACATTTCTCAAGTCCATTTTCTTCTCAATCAAAATAGAATAATTCTTAGCTTAATTTACTTTGTACATTAGTTTGAAGATTTATTAAGATGAGAAGAAAGTGTAATTTGGAGCTCAGACTTGTTCCTCCTGCCCCATACTTCGATTCCATGTAAGTACTCATTTTTTTCGAAAATATGTTATACTATGTAGATCAAGCTATGATCTCGACTCAATAAATTTAATGACCTAAATTAAATTTTTAATATAACCACCTCAAATTGTCGATAAATTTTATTTCTCCTTTAATTCGAACTATAGGGGAAATAAAGAAACCATAGATGAAGAGAAGGAACATCAGCAGCTAACTATATTTTATGATGGAAAAGTTGTGGTTTCTGATGCTAGCGAGGTCCAGGTATACGTATTTTGCACCTTTAATTTCCTCACTCTATTATTAATTCGAATGTCTGGTTTAATTCGGTAGAAATCGTTGTATCGTTTTGCTCTGTTTCAATTTGCTTGGGTTGATTTAGTGTAACAGTATTAAATTAACTAATATTTAGTACGAATTTGGATATATAATTTTTAATTTTAAGTAAAGTCTACATATTTAGAAACTACCTAACAAGTATATAAAGCTTGTTAGTGAAAAAATTTACTAGATTACAAAAAAATACAAGATTACAATTGAAAATAAAAAATGAAGAAAATAAATCTCTGCAAGGCTAAGGCACGGATATCTCGCTCTCTTTAAGGAGATTCAAGTCCACTGCAACAAATGTTTTTACTGGTCCAACAGTAGTCCTCTTTGACTTGTCCCCTCCAGGATACAACAACGTTCACAAATTATAACTCAACAACTCTGAACAAGAGTTGAGTCCAAAGTTCCACAAAAAAGAACACCTCCCTTCAACTAATAAGAACTCTCTTTTAAACTAACACTTTCACTCTATGTTCTTTCTCTTGTGTATTGTGTGTACCAAATCAAATGAAGACCACCACTATTTATACTACAAGAAGTCTTCCTAGCAATGAATAGGAAGATAATGATATAGTAAATAATAAAGATAATGATCTTTAGAGTTATATAGGTTACAAAGATAATGAAAGAGTAAAGAATGAAAAAAGGAAAAGAATAACAAATGCACCAACGTGTAAATGTTACATTTTGACCATTGCAACATTTATCAGAAAGTAAAGTGCATTATGCATATGGTCATTAAGTGACCATTCAGTAATAGGGCCAAATGCACAAATGCACAAATGCAATGCACTGCAACGGTCATAACCTCAATTTCATATAGCCTTTAACATAATAATATGAAACAATTTAATAATAAATAAATATTAAAATGCTCAAAAGATCAACAATTTCGCACTCATTTTAATATTAAACAAGAGACTATATCAGTTGAAGAAAGATTACTATGCATAATGAATGTGTGCTCTGCATTGAACCTCCACTTACTAAAACAATAACTTTTACTCCAGAGTCATAGTGGTCTCAGACTTGAACTGTGACTGCTTAAGGGAAATAAAATATCACTGCTCACACATAATAATCAAGGTGTTGACATGAGCTTTAAAGCCAGCACGTTATAGCCATGTGCTACCCGGTTTCGTGAGTGCATTTGAGAATAAGTCAATTCTCATAGGAGCGACCTACTTCTACACATTACATAGGTGAAATCTGTCGAGAGTGAACCTGTAAGTTTAACACTCCATCCATACGGGCTATAGATATTCATTAAGAGTTTTATCAACACAACTTTCACAAACTACAGGAAATAATGCACCCACATCATAGGGAGGGAATAAAAAGATAGTGCATTTTCACAACAAGCCATCATATGATTAAATTTTCCCTTTGAACCTGGTTATAGGATCTCTAGTCCCCTGATTGGATTTCCTCATATATGACTCAAGAATTTCTAGGCTTCAATCTCATCCCCCTCGATGTGCTCCAAATCTTTTCTCTTGTTAAGGCCTTCGTAAGAGGATCTGCAAGATTATCACAAGATTTGACGTAATCAACATTAATGGTACCATTTGTCAAATATGATCTTACATTACTGTGTTTCCTCCTTATAGGTCTGGATTTACCATTGTAATAATGATTTTGAACTCGATCAATTGCAGCGGTGCTATCACAATGAATTAAAATAGGAGGAATTGATTTTTCAAAATAAGGAATTTGAAACAACAAATCTCTTAACCAATTCGTTTCCTCACTAGCTGAAGCTAAAACAATTAGTTCAGCCTCCATGGTAGAGTTAGCAATTATAGTTTTCTTTTTCGATCTCCAACAAACAGCACCACCACAAAAAGTAAAGATATAACCAGTGGTAGAACAGAAATCACCTGACAAAGTGTTTTAATCTGCATCACAAAAGCTTTCAAGTACAGTAGAATATTTTTTATAGAACAAACAACAATTTTTTGTTCCAATTAAATATGCCATAACTCTTGTTATAGCATGCCAATGTTCGTTACATGGCTTGCTTGTAAACCTGCCAAGTACTCCTACTGCATATGCAATATCAGGCCTAATGCAATCAGTCACATATCTCAAACTTCCGATTATACTAGCATATTCCTTTTGATTTATTACATCATTTTCACTTTCAATAGAAAATAAGTGAACACTTGAATCAAAAGGAGTAGCAACATGCTTGCAATCATGAAAGTTATAATTTTTTCAAAATTTTCTCAACATAATGTGACTGGTCAAGGAAAATCCCCTCACATGTTCTTGTTATTTTTATTCCATGAATAAAATTTGTCTTACCAAGATCTTTCATATCAAAATGGCTTCTAAGAACATTTTTAGTTTCATCAATAACATTCATGTTAGAGACAACGATCAACAAATCATCAACATATAGGCAAATAATCGATCACATGTGAATTATTCCAAGACTTATAATATATGCACTTATCACACATTTATTTTAAAATCATTTTCAATCATGCAGGAATCAAACTTTTCATGTCCATTTCTTTGGTGCATGTTTCAAGACATATAGGAATTTAGTAAGTTTACATACTTTGCTTTCTTGGCCTGCTTCAACAAAACAGTAGGGTTGGTCCATATAAATTTCTTCATTTAGGTCTCCATATAGAAAAACAGTTTTTACATCCATTTGATGAATTTGGAAATAAAAAATTGTAGCAATAGCAACTAAAAGTCAAATGGATGTTATTCTTGTAATCGGAGAAAAAATATCAAAAAATTCTAGGCCTTCTAGTTGTTTAAAATCTTTTGCAACTAGTCTAGCCTTATATTTATCAATAGATCCATACAATTTCAACTTTTTTCGTAAGACCCATTTACAACCAATTATTTTACAACCCGGTGATAAATCAACTAACTTCCAAGTTTTATTAGAAATTAGAGATTCCATTTCATCATTTACAGTCTCTTTCCAAAAAATAAAATCATGTGAAGATAATGCTTCTTTCAAAGTTAGAGGATTATCTTCAACATTAAACACATAAAAATCTGGACCAAAATCTTTTTCTACTCTAGCTCTTTTACTTCTTCTTAACTCAAAATCATTAACTTCTTTATTTTTCAAAGTAGAAGTAGAAGAACTAGGTAGTGACAAAATATTTTGTTCAATTCTTTGACCCCCACTATTTTTAGTATCAAAAGAAAATTTATTTTCATGAAAATAGCATAACCTGATTCTATCACAATAGTATCTTCAAGATTAAAAAATCTATAGGCTATACTATTTGAAGCATAACCAACAAAAGCACAAGTAGTAACTTTCTTACTCAACTTTGTAATCTTAGGATCCATTAGCCTCACAAAGGTTAGACAACCCCAAACTCTTAAATATCCCAAACTTGGTTTGTAACATTTTCACAATTCAAAAGGTGTCAATTTTGACTTTTTTTGAGGCACACGATTCAACACATAACAAGCAGTTAAGATAGCTTCACCCCATAAATTTAAAGGTGCATATGACTCAATAAGCATGACATTAGTCAATTCAACCAAAGTTCTGTTTTTCCTTTATGCTGCTCCATTAGATGAAGAGAGTAAGGAAGAGTAGTTTCATGAATTATTCTCAATGATCTAACAAAAGAATTAAACTCATTTGATTCATATTCACGACCTCTATCACTTATAAAATATTTTTCCTTCCAAACTAATTTTCATGTTCATGGAGATAAGTTTTAAAATTTTCAAAAGCATCACTTTTATTTTTCATCAAGTAAAACATATGTAAACTTAGAAAAATCATCAATGAAAGTGATAAAATATCTATTACCTCCACGAGTTAGAATTCCACCAAGTTCAAAAATATCAGTATGAACTAATTCTAATAAATCAGTTTTTCTTTCAACTTGAAAATGAGGCATTTTAGTGATTTTGACTTTACTACAAGCCTCACACTTTTCAAAATTATTTTTAACCATTGGGATTAATCCTAAACCACTCATGATTCCAACATAACGATCATTAATATGACACAAACGAGCATGCCAAAAATTAGTAGAAGAAAGCATATAAACAGAAGTAGAAGTTTTATTCATTTCAACGTTCAACTTAAAAATCCATCACATGGATACCCCTTCCCCACAAAATACCTTTCTTAACTATTACATTTTGATCAGATTTAATAATTTGTTTAAAGCCTGCTTTATAAAGTACATCTTCCAATGTTAATATCCTTCCAGAAGTAAAACACAATTCAACATCTCCCTTTCCAAGCACTTGAGTAGTGTGAGCATCACCAAACATGATGGTTTTGGGCTCCTCAAAATGAGTATATTTTTTAAACCAGTCTTTGTCATAACAGACATGACAGTTTGCACGAGAATCAGTCCACCATCCATCAACATTCTTAACCATGTTTATGTTAGTAATCACCGCCACAAAAGGTTCTTCGGTAACGTTTGCCTGAGGGTTAGGACCACCTTTTTTGGAATCTGTAAAATCGAGCAATATGCTCATTCTTGCCACAAACAAAGCATGGTATTTTTTCTTGAACTTGTTTATTTTGTACTTGGAGATTTTCATCATTATTTTTCTTGGGAGGTCTACTATTATTTTTCTTGATTTTTTTCTTCTTAGGTTTTAAAAAAATATTTTTGTGAGATTCAGGAGTAACATTATTCGAAGTAATTAAATTTACTTTCGATGTAATGTTGTTCTCTTCTGTTTGTAAAAGTGCATCTTGGCCCCTTGCTTCTTTTTCTATGCGGATTTTCATTATCAAGGTTTCAAGAGAGGTTTCCTTTTGTTTGTGGCGCATAGTTTTTTGAAATTTCTTCCAAGAATGTGGAAGTTTATCCACTATGTCATAAACAATAAGGTTATCTCTAATTTTAACCTCTTCGGACATAAGCTCTCCAACAATCATGATGAAGTCTTGAGTTTGATCTACCATTGATTTGTTTTCCACCATTTTAAAACGAAAAAATCTACTAGCTGCATATTTTTGCCCCAGCCTCTTCGGTATCATACTTACTCTACAATTTCTTCCAATTTTTTTTTTGCACTAGAGTAAGTTCTATCATAATAATCATAAAAATTATCAGATAGACAATTAAGAAGATAATACCGACATTTATAGGAACCACCATCGTACGATGAGAAATAGTTTCATCATCATTCATAGTGGTAATGTCTTCTTTATTTGGATTCTTCTCGGTTAATACATAAGAAACATTGAGAAAACATAAGTAGAAAAGTATTTTACCCTTCCATCTCTTGAAATGTTAACATTGAACCGAAATGGCTTGTTAAGATCTCCCATCTTGACATCCGCGATTTTTCAATCGTAGCCATCTTGAATCTCCTTAAAATTGTTAGTGAAAAAGCTTACTAGATAATAAAAAATTGCAAGTTTACAATTGAAAAAAAAAATAAAGAAATAAATCTCTTCAAGGCTGAGGCGCAGACATCTCGCTCTCTTTAAGGAGATTCAAGCCCACTGCAGCAAATGTTTTTACCGGTCCAGCAGTAGTCCTCTTTGACTTTTCCCCTCCAGGATACAACCTTCACAAATTATAACTCAACAACTCTGGACAAGAGTTGAGTCCAAAACTCTACAAAAAAAAACACCTCCCTTAAATTCAAATATAATTTAAGTTTATTTTTGAAGTTTATGTTTATTTTAAATCTTAATATGTCTTTTTCATTATACTTAAAACCAAATATATTCTTTATCACGCTAATATCTGAGTCCCAATCTTAGAATAAACACACGAAAGGTTAGAATTAATTTTGAAATCCCAAATTATTTTCGGCCTGTCAACACCCAAAACAATCCAGTAAAATATTTCTAGCCCAAAATCAATGTATAAGTCAAACAAAAGTAAATGAATTGTTTGTTAAAAAAATTGACAACTTATTAGCTGCACGTAGTAAATGAAAACTCGTTTTTATAATTATTGTTCTCATTTTTTTCGCCAACCAAAAATTCAAAATATCAAAAAGAAAAAATTGCAAAATTTTAAAAAATAGTTAACTTTGTGTGTTTGATTCTGAAGTTTTTGAAAGTTGAATTAATGCGGTTCTTCAAATTCTATTGGTTTGACAGATATAAATTTTGACATTTAGGGTGTGTTTGGTACCAAGGAAAATGCTTTTTATGAAAATGATTTTCTGAAAAACAAGTAGATATTTAATTTATCTTTTCATATTTGTTTGGTGAGTAGAGAATATTTTTCGAAAAAATATTTTAGTGTGTAGTTGAATGAAAAATATTTTTGAGAAATATATTTTATTTTTTACAAGAGTAGGAAACAATTTGTTTTTTTTGGGGGGGGTGGGGGGGTGGGGCTGTAGGGGGCTAGTTGGGTGGGGGAAGGGGTTGAGGTAGGGCTGAAAAAAAATGAAATTTTGAAGTCGAAAATATTTTCTAAAAAATAATTTTAAATTTTTTTGGAGGTAGGGGAGTAGGTTGGGACTGGTAGGGTGGGTGGGGGCTGGTAGGGTGGTGTGGGTAGAGGGAGGTTGGAAGAGAGTTTTCGAAAATGTTTTTCTTAACTTTTGAAGGGACGTCATTTTCTTAAATTTGAGGAAAATGAGTTGATATGGAAAACATTTTTTAAAATATTTAATTCAACCAAACATGAGAAAATTGGAAAGACACCCTTAATTTTTGTTTTTGAAGCTTTACTTTTATCATCTTCACATCGCTTTTCTTTTTCTTTTTCTTTTTTTAAAGAATCTTAAAAACTAATTTTAAATGAAAATAGAAATAGTTTTTTCGATGTTGGGAGAAATCTAAAAATTTCTGCTCCTTAAATCCAGCAGAAGCAAAAAATTATTTTTTTAAGAATAAAATATCTCTTTGATATGTTCATATTTATCAATTTATCTCTTACTTATTAATTACTATATTTCATAAGTTTGTTTAAATTCCATTCAAGAATTTAGATTTTTTAGTTTATTTTTTAATATAATAAATATTTTATTTTATTTTATATTTATATATTATTATTTACACATATTTATATTATATATATTATATTTCATATTTTTATTTTATTATACGTTTTATCCTACAAAATTAGAAATAAATGTAACAACAAACTTTTGTAGGATTAAAAATATGAAGGACTATACTTATTTATTTTTGTGGTAAATTTTTCGTATGTAGTGATTTAATTTATTGAATGATTTTAAATTTATTTTACTTGAGATTTTTAGTTATATTTAAATCATGATGTTAAGATTATATTAAATTTAATTTATTCAATTTATTTATTTATGTACAACATTGATTGAAAATTTGAATATGTATATTTTAATTTAACTTAAATAAAATTTTAATTAAAATTTTTGTAGTAGATATTTAAAATAGTTTCTTTCTATAAAATAATCTTAATATTAATAACACATCAATACTTACCCTTTTTCATAATTTGACTCTCAAAAGAATTTTTTAAAATAAAGAATAGACAAACATAATTTGTTTATCAAAAATACTTTTTCAAATGAATATCCAACCACAAATTGTTTTCTTTCAAAACTTTTTTTTTGAAAAAGTCATTTTTAAAAATTAGTTCTAAAAACAAGTTTTTAGCAATAATATTAAACAGAGTAAGATTGAGTTATGAATTATTTTGGGTGTTAGCTGGGATAAAAATAATTATTTTGGGTGTTAGCTGGGATAAAAATAATTTGGGTCCTTCAAATTAACTCTATCCCTCCATTTATATATCTTAAGAATGGGATCTATTCTACCACTAGATATACAAGTGTTAATAAGCACACAACTGAGGGTCAAATATCTGCTTTAACCATGTGTTTATTTTCATATTCAGTTGTTTGATTTATTAGTTTAGGCTTGACATTTATAGTGCAAAGTCTGGAGTTAAAACCTTGCCGACATCATTTTTTTATTTTTGTTTTAATTTTAGCTTATTTAGTGATTTGAGATTTTCAACATTTCGTATTACGTAAATATATTTCTTATTTATATTTTAATTATTCTATCTTTATTTTACATAATTATTTTTTTTTAAAATTTTTAATTTCATCGAAAATATTTTGTCCACTAATTTCGAGAATAATTTAGTCATTGTAGATTTAGTGTGACTACTTGTAATAGTATGTCACATATATTATGTGAATATATATATATATATATATATTGGGTCCGGACTTCCCGAGCTTTTATACCTAGTAAAGTATAAGAGACATATTTAGTCTAAATTAACACATGAAAATAAATTTGGACAGAAATATATAATTAAGGTATATTAAGTTTTTGTTCTGATAGTAGATAGATATATATGGCTTCTCCAACTTTTCTATGTTACTAATGAGTACTTTTATTATGATTCTAAATTTATTTGTTTTTATTTTTCGATAATATAGGCTAAAGCTATAATACATCTTGCAAGTAGGGAAATGAAGGAGAACACAAAAACACCATCGACACTTTCGGAGCCACCATCATCATTATCACAATTTGAAACTGAGGTTTCTATGAAAAAATCTCTACAAAGATTTTTGCAGAAGAGAAAAAGTAGAACTCAAGCAATTTCCCCGTGTCATCAACTACAGTAATAACATATCCAGTGAAATCTCATAAGAAGGATTTGAGGAGAATACAATGTATTCCAAACTTTATCACTACTCTATGTAGATAGAGAAACTGCTTACACGAGACTTATCCATCTCTCTCCCCCCTCCCCCCTAAGTTTGTGTTATACTATACCTCCGTCCATTTTATAATGGTCATGCTGCGCTTTTAATTGAAAGTCAATTTGACTAATTTTCAAAGTTAAATTAAATTACTTTAATTGATATTTTAAATAAAAAATTCAGATATTCAAAAACTATACGAAAAACACTATAAATTACAATTTTTTTGCATATCAATGTGATGAAAAAATACATTATAAAATGTTAGTCAAAGTTCTTATAGTTTGACTATAAAAAGGAAAATCGTGACAATTAAAAGTAGACGAAGATAGTAAAGAAAAAGAATTTGCATGTCATTACCGATGAAATGATCAGAGTTATGTAAATTCATATTTTGTATAGAATTTTTGGTGGTTTAATTTATGTAATACATTTCATTTGTTGAGGATTAAATTGACTTATTATGAATGTTATATTAGATTATTTGAACTCAATTATTTAAAATTTAGAAAATTATTAAAATAAACTATACAAAAATTAAAGTATTGTATGTTATGGTACTTTTCATAGTAATATAACAACGTATTTTGGTAGCCATACTGTAACAATCTCCCGGTGCTCAACATTCATCTTAAAAGCACCACTCTAAACTATGTCCCACATATAGTCAAACTCGGGGGTATTTAGTGCATATGTGTGACTGGTGTTAGCGCCATAGAGAAACCGACTGATGGTGGCATGTAAAATTTCCACTGGACAACCTTTAACCATGGTGGAAGTTAGAGGGTCCTGTCCTGTGGGCTTGGCCTTCTTGGGAATCATTCCTCGAAGAGTGGCAATAGAGGAAACATAAAACTCTTGCACAATCTCCTCACTGTATGTTCCGGGTTCTTAAGCCATCTAGTCGCACTTGTGGAGTTTGAACAACTGGTCTACCTCGGTATTGTATGCAAGCTCCCAATGAGGATTGTGAGCTCCTCAATGATTAATCGATTTATTTTTTCCTATTTATTAAGCATCTTAGCATCACGATAGATCTACCACTATGCCTCAACACACCATCTATTTGGCTCGCCGACTACAATAGTTGGGTCACAAACCCCTGGTACCTGTGTTGATTCTGAGCTAGTTGCATCATCAGACGAGACTACTTGGTCATTATTCCCGGAACCAATGGCTGAATGCATGGCAGACTCTTAAGCGCGACCGAACACATAGCCTGAAGCTGGGGTATACTCGGAACTCGACAGTTGACCCATCCTCTGAGATGAAAATAACCCTAGTTGGTGAACCAACCAGTATGTGCTCCTCATAAGCTTGAGAGAGTGACGATATCGGGATTCAACTCCCAGGGGGTCCTCTAGTGGTCCGCGGTGCAGTGGTAGAGGTGCGTATGTTGGGAGGTACATATGTAGGATCCCTTTCCTCGTCAGTGTCCCTGTTTATCAACTTGAAATAGGGGTAAACGATTTGGATTTACCCCGTTTTGTGTAGACAACTTTTTTCTTAGGTGCCATAGTACCTGTTGAAGAGTTATTAGTTCCAACACAATTTAACTACACACACTAATTAGTCAGTGGATAGATGGACCATAACATTGGTTCCAGATGGAAACCACATATGCACTTAATAGTTTGTAGATTGATCTACGGACCATAGTCCATGTATTTTGTTTCATACTTAGTGACTTTTTGTAGTGCATCCATCTACGGACCAGATGGATGGTTTGTAGATTGGTCTATGGTCCGTAAAGGGGGTCTTGTGGATGGTATTTGTGCCAGCTTTCAGCCATGATTTCAATTTCAAATCCACATGTATGACCATTTTTGACAAAAATTCTAGTCTAACCATGTATTACAACATTTAATCATGCTAGTTCGTCATTCTCATGGTTCCAATTATACAAATTTTAGTAATTATTTAAAACAGAATGTGGAACCCTGAGTCGAAACTTACATTTAGACTGTATCACACACATTTTTCAGGCAATATAACTACACAAAATCACCATCGGTCGTCCCAATGATGGTTTTAAGTTAGTTTTTTAGCTTGCTTTATCATTTATTAAACACCGAAGGTCAAGATCTGACTCTTGACTTTCTATATTAAATCTATGAACCGAAATTCAAAGCGAGGGAAAGTCTATTACCTTACAAGTATTGAGAAGTGAAGTGATTGTGTGGAGACAAAAGCTTTACAATACCAAAACTAACTGCCTAGTTGCAGTGAGCCCGAACATCAAAATTTTTGGAGGTAGGAGTTGAGAGAATTTGGGGGAGATGATGTGGGGTGTTTTCTGGGGAAGGAATAGGAATAGATTGGAAATGGAATGTGAGGGATTTAAGGGTGAGTTTGGAATGATTTAGGGGATTTGAAGTAGTTTGAAATTGTTGTGGGGAAATGAAGGAAGAGGGAAAGAATTTGAAAGTGGGATTTTTAAATAGAGAAGTTAAGGTCGGGTAAGGCAACTAGGGTTTGGACTTACGAGACCTCGCTGACGGTCAGTAGGTCGATCTACGGTCTGTAGATTGGGACCATAGATTACTCTTTGACTTAGAAAAATTAGGGACTTACCTGGGATCTGTGGACGACATTCACGGTCCGTGTAATGATTGATGGACCGTCAATGGGGTCCGTAGACCTCTGCACCAGACAATTTTTCTACAGATATTGCCTAGCGCACCTGCACAAGTAGCAACCATTAGTCCTTTCTCTTTGCATTTTCTGGAAACTTTTTTTTAGACACGGACCCTATGCTCTCTATCAAGGCAACCCTAACACAAGAATTTAAAGTATTTAAATACTTGAATACAGAAAGATAATCAATCCTAGAAACTACTAAATGTAAACTAAAACTTATAGTTCGCTAGATAATACATCTTGGCTTGCCTCCCTAATAGCAATTGATTTAACATTGCGGCACGACGCATGAATCTTTATTACTTAGACTAAATCAATATAGAAAGCCTCGACACCTGTTGCACACTCTCAACGTTTCCTAGATAGATCTTGATTCTTTGACTATTCACCATGAATCTTCTTCCTTCACTATTTTCCAGCTCAACCGCTCCATGGGGAAGTACCTTTGTGAGTAAAATGGCCCTGCCCATTTTGACTTGAGTTTCCCCAAAAACAAGCACAACCTAGTGTTGAATAGAATCACAAGATCACCTACAACAAATTCACGCTTTTCAATCCGTTGATGATGATACCTCTTAATCTTTTCTTTGTACAAGGCTGAACTTTCAAAAGGTTTTAAGCGCCACTCCTCAAGCGTGTTTAAGTCATTGATTCTTTGGTTGGATGCGACATTCTAATCAAAGTTCAACTTCTTCATGGCATGCATAGTTGTATGCTGTAGCTCTACCTGTAAATAACAAGCCTTCCTATATATGAGTTGGTATGGAGACATACCTACGAGAATCTTGTATACAGTGTTGTACGCCCATAGCGCATCATCAAGCTTCCTTGACCAATCCTAACTATTAGTATTCACAATCTTTGCTAAAATATGTTTGATTTCTCTGTAGGACACTTCAACTTGTCCACTAGTTTGTGGATGGTAAGTGGTAGTTATGTTGTGGCGGCCACCAAATTTCTCAAGACGTGCTTTGAACAACTCGTTACAGAAGCGTGAACCTCCATCGCTAATAATCACCCTTGGTGTACCACATCCGGAGAAAACATTCTTCTTCAAGAATACAGTGACACTCTTTCTTTTGTTATTGAGGAGCGTGATTGCTTCTACCTAATTTGGACACATAATCAACCGCAACAAGAATATAGTACTTCCTATGATAACTCACAAAAGGTCCCATAAAATTGATGTCCCATACATCAAATTGTTCGATCACCAATATAAGATTCATGGGAAGTTCTTTCCTATTTGAAATCTCACCTTCTCTTTGGCAACAATCACATGACTTTATGAAATCATGAGCATCTTGGTGGATGGTAAGCCAATAGGAACCACGTTGCAAAATCTTATGCGCCGTGTGCGGATACTACTATGATGCCCACCCACGGGCGGTGAATGCCATGCCTCAAGAGCACTCAACATATCATCCTCGGGCACACAATGATGGACGATTTCATCACCACAACTACGATACAAGTAAGGCTCATCCCAAAAGAACTTCTTTACATCATGCATAAACTTCTTCCTTTGGTGAAAAGATAAGTCCGGGGGCACCAAATTGCTTGCCAAATAATTGGCAAAGTCTAAAAACCACAAAATGAGATCATGAGTGGCAACCAATACCTGTTCATCTGGAAACAACTATCAATATGGACATCATTAATTTCAGCCTTATCACCAAGCTTGAGCATATAATCTTCCTATAATTTGGACAAGTGTCCGACTACTTGATTTTCGGTCCCCATTCTCTCTTTTACCACAAAATCAAACTCTTCCGGAAACAACACCATCTAATCAGCCTACATTTTGCGTTTTTTTCACCATCAAATACCTTAATGCAAAATGGTCATTATGAAATATGATCTTAGTACCAAGCAAGTAGGACTGAAATTTCTCAAAGGTGAACACCACTGCAAGAAGCTCTTATTCGTTCACTGTATAATTCTTTTGGGCTACATTTAGGGCCTTGCCAACATAGTAAATAGGATGGAGAATTTTGTCTCTCTTTTGTCCTAATACCACACCAAGCGTAACTCCGTTTGCATCACACATTACCTCAAACGGTTCACCCCAATCCGGTGAAATAATAATAGGCACAAGACTAACTTCTCCTTCAACTCTCCAAATATTTTCAGACAATCATAATAAAAATAGAACTTATACTCCTTCTCAAGTAGTTTGCACAAAGAATTTGCAATTTTTGAAAAATCCTTTATAAAGCTTCTATAAAAACCAGTACGCCCAAGAAAACTTCTAACACACTTTATAGAGTTGGGTGTTGGAAGCTTTTCTATCTCCTCGACTTTAGCTCTATCAACCTCAACACCCTTTTCCGGGATCTTGTGACGCAACACTATACCTTTCTTCACCATAAAGTGACACTTCTCCTAAATTAGCACCAAATTACAATCTTCACATCATTTGATTACCTCGGCTAGATAATCCAGAAAACAATCAAAAAAGTCACCTACAACAGAGAAATCATCCATGATCACCTCAATAGTGTCCTCCACTATATTAGAGAATAT